CTTTGTACTTATACTTCCGTCGTTCAAGACTTCGCCCTAATCGCCAGTCCCTTCCATGAATTACTACAAAAAAGAAAAGTTTCAATCATCCAGTCAAAGTCAGCATGCATTTACCCTTTTGCCGTCAATTCTGACAACTCCGCCACTTTTACGCCCATTTTACCCTTCTGCTACTACAATTATTCATACTGTTGCAAGCGGCTTTGGCCTTGGTGCTGTCCTATTTCAAGGATCAGAAAATTGCCCGGACGAACAAGTTATCTCTTATGCAAGCCGGTCTTGATCAAACCTGAGCGGAACTATTCGACCACGAAGAGCGAAGCTCTTGCGGTAGCCTGGGCTTTTGACAAATTCCGACAATACCGCTATGGAAGACACTTCGAAGTGGTCACCGACCACCACTCTTTGTGGTAGCTTACATCCCTTAAGGACCTAACCGGACGCCTCGGACGATGGCCGCTAAAACTTCAGGAGTGATTTTCATATCGTCTACAACAGTAGTCGAAACCATCAAGACGCTGATGCCCTCACTCGATGTCCCCTTCCTTCCCTTAACACTACTACAGTTGCACCTAACAAAAACACCACAGCTTCAGTCGCTCCTATTTCCCGTGAGATTTCTCCTTTGACCAGCGTGCAGATCTCTGGATAAATAAGATAATCGCCCACTTGAATGGCACCAATCCATCCGAAAATCGACGTTTCATTAACAAAAAAAAAAACAATGTTCTATTACAGACGGGATGTTGTTTCGTCTAAATTATGATGCACAAGGTAAGCGTTGGCTTCTTGTCATCCCTCAAGACCTCCGACAAGAAATATTACATCTACACGATGACCCCACTGCGCACATCTCGGATTCTTTTGGCCTGGAATGTATAAGACTATATTCAAGTACTTCAGAAGTTGCCGCAGGTGCCAGCGTCGAAAGCGTCTCACGTCTAATGCCCCAAAACTTCTCCAACCCACAGCTCCACATCATTTACCATTCGACGTTCTGGGAGTTGACCTGTTCAGACCTCTCCCGAGCATCTAATACATTACGTCGAAACAGCGGCCCTTCCCAACGCCACAGCTCCCAAAATTTCTGCGTTCCTGCTTAACCTGGTGGTTCTCTGCCCGGAGCTTCACGTACTCTCATTAGTGATCGCGGACGGTTCTTTTTGTCTACCACCGTGAAGGCGTTACTTAGTGCCTGCAACATGACAGATCGTAGCACGACTGCGTATCACCCTCAGACAAATGGACTGACCGAGCGATTTCACCACACATTAGCCAATATGATATCAATATACGTATCAGAAACTCACACCAAATGGTATAGCATACTACCCTTCATACCATTCACATACAACAGCGCACGTTAGAGTACTACGGCATTTTCTCCTTTCCACCTTCTCTATGAGCACGAAGCATCTTGTACCCTGGATTTCATCGTTTACTCGGAACAGCCCTATTATTCAGACGAAATTTTGGCGGACACTGTGGCCCACACTCAAGAACGTCACCGGCTGGCCCGCTCTCGCACAGCACAGTGACAGCAGCATTCAAACATACGCTACGACAAAGCTCATCGCAACTTTAACCAGTGTAATCTCGGCAATGCCCACACCTCGGGCGTCTCAATTTTATACATCTCGGGAACATTTTCCTACGGCTTTCACATATAGCTGAATTTTCCTCCCAGGAACATGGCTTGCACATATATTTATTATATACACATATTAATATATTGAATATACATTAATACATATACATATATTCATATGACCCGGACAGTCATTAGACGATCCGACGTGGAAACACCCCTTAGTCCTTTAAGGTAACTTTCCAGTATTGAGATGCCGCAGTTGAACCCATGCTCTAACGTGTGCACTTTGGTCAATCAGGAGTTACCGCATCCGACACACCCGTCTGCACACACAAATAGGCAGTATGATCAACGCGTAAAGCTATAGATGAACGCGTCCATTTTTAGAGCACAGCTCTAAGGCGCCCGTTTCCAGCTTGCGCGGCGTCAACGTCGTCGTCGGCGTCGGTGTAACTGCTGGTTGCATTATGGGACGTTTGGCATAATGATGTCACACGTGACGTCACGTGTGACGTCACTCGGGGCGTCACCGCACGCTGCATTATGGGTAAATTTTCCCGCTAAGTTTAACGGAAAAATATTCCCGTTAAATTTAGCGGAAACATTTTCCCCTCGAAATTCAGCAGGAAAAAATTCCCCGCTAAATTTAGCAGAAAAAATTCCCCACTAAACTTAGCGGAAATTATTCCCCGCTAAATTTAACGAAAGAATTGCCCGCTAAATTTAGTGAGTAAAATTCCCCTCTAGATATAGCGGGAAAAGTTTCCTGCTCAACTTAGCGGAATAATTTTCCCGCTTAATTTAGCGGGAAAAGTTCCTCGCTGCATGGGGCGGAAAATATCCCCGCTAAATTTAGTGGAAAAATTTCCCCGCTAAATTTCGCGGGAAAAATTGCGCGCTAGCGGAAAAACTTTCCCTCTAAATATAGCGGGAAAATTTCCCCGCTAAATTGAGCGGGCAGAATTGCTCACTAAATTTAGCTAAAATCTTTCCCGCTAGATTTATCGCAAAAATTTCCCCGCTTGATTTGACGAGACAAATTTGTCCGCTAAATTTAATTAAAAAAGACCCGCTAAATTTAGTGGGAAAAATACCCGGTCAATTTAGTGGGGAAACTTTCCCGCTACGTTTAGCGAGAAAATTTCCCCGCTAAATATAGCAGAAAAAATTTGCTATTAAATTTAGCGGGGGATTTAGAGAAAATTTCCCGCTAAAAGGGAGGGGGCAGCAGGAGAGGAGGAAAGGGTAAGGACGAGGAGGAGGGGCGTACAGTCCCCTCCGCACCTTCCCCTCCTCCTCCTCAAGAGCTGCGCTCTAATTCGGCGTTACAAAGGATTGCGAACGTCTTCCTTTTTTTTATTTTTTTTATTGAAACATCGAATATCAACCAATGTTCCAATTGGGTCTCTTGTTCTCTTTATTACGATTGTAGATGAGCGGTGTTTTCTGCACTTCCTTGCTTATTTAAGATAGAACAACACTTTGGTAACGAGAGTTTCATTTCGTAGACAAGTGAGCGGCACATAATTGGTTGAATATTCGGTAGAGACTTCGATACACCCAGACCGTAAACACCATTCCCAATGTATCCCGCTTTATTCACAACAGGGACGTAAAGACGGTAGCAGTACGGGGAAAATCGTAAACGCTGCCATTGGTGCTCCCGAGAAAAAATATGAGAAAAAAAGCGAGAAAAAAAGCGGGGAAAGTAAGTAAACAGAAAAAGAAAGCAGACAATAGATTAGGTGTCTTCCTTTTTTTGCGACGAGCTGAAGTTGTCCGAATGCTTGTCATTTAATTTAATACAAGCTGCTATGCTGGACTTCTGCAAATTAAGCTAAAAAAAAGTGAAAGCCGTTTACAACTCCCTGTAACGCCGAATTAGAGCGCAGCTCTTGAGGAGGAGGAGGGAAGGGTACTGGGGGGTGGGGTCAAGTGACCTTGGGTGGGGGTCTCGTGACCTAGGGGGGTCACGTGACGATGCCGATGCCGATGACGTCATCAGTAACGATGACGTTGCGGATACCGATGACGTCATCAGTGACGTCACTGATGACGTCATCAGTGATGATGACAATGACGATGCGGATGCCGGTGAGGTCATCAGTGATGATGACGATGACGATGCGGATGCCGGTGACGTCATCAGTGATGATGACGATGACGATACGGATGCCGGTGACGTCATCAGTGACGTCACTGATGACGTCATCGGGGGTCACGTGACTTGGGGAGCCACGTGACTTTGGGTGTCACGTGACCTTGGGAAGTCATGTGACCTTGGGTGTCACGTGACCTTGGGGGTCAAGTGACCTTGGGATGACCTTGGTTACGCCGACGGCGACGCCAACGCCGACGGCGACGCCGCTCAAGCCGGGAACGGGCCCCTAAGAGCTGCGCTCTAAAACACAAGGCAGACACCTTACGTGTCATGTTTTGCTGCTTCTTTATTAATAGTAAGGTGTTGCTAGAAACATGGGCCCGTTAAACCACCCACTGGGACTACCGATATCCGCGCCTATGCCCTGCCGTTCCGAAGCTGCCAGAATGCATGAGACCGCTTCCTTCAGAATATTTTGTTTAACTATATGATTCGCGGGTCCATATCACAAGAGCGAATGACATTTTAGCGAATGGCGACATTTGAGCGAATGGTCGTTTTAGCGAATAACTGGGGCGCGCGTTATCCCATCCGTCGCTCTGCGCTTTACGCCGCTTCGCGGCGACAGTCTGCGGCAACTCATTACAAAAATATGAACTCACTTGGCCCACCCGAAAACGCCGCTTCGCGGCGTCCGACTATTCGCTAAAGTGTCGTTCGATGAAACGTGGGCGTTCGCTAAAACGTCATTCGATCAAGTGAGTGCCTCCCATGATTCGCAAGGACTTGAAGATATCAGCATCGGCAAATGCACTCATGTTAGGCATCAACTCGGGCACTAAAATCAGTTGTGCAACACTAACCTATGTACATGAGAAGATCGTGATAAAGATCTATATTGTATTTGGCTTTGCTTAGCCACGCAGTGAATATGTTTTCGGTAGATGCAGGTTATTAAAATGAATTACGTTTTTACTTCATTGCTGGCTAGAACTCAGACGAAACTTGCGGTGGAAACCCCTGTAAGCATATAAGGAGAGAGAGAGAGACCGATATTTTATGTATAAACACAACTGAGAAAAAATGATGACCTGCGTAACAATGAGAGGAAGTAAAAGAAAAGCCGGAAATGGGGGGGGGGGGGGGTTCAATGTATAATTGTTGAAACGTCGAGTTGTTTGTAACAATAAAACCTTGCTAGCTTCCCTTAATTGCTGTTTAGACATGACGTACGGTTCATGCGACGTGAGGGTAGTTGTCTTATTGTGTAGAAACAAACGGCGTTTGTTCTCGTGTCTGCTAACGACCATGGATTGCAGCTACGGACGAATCTGCTCCTTCGTACCCTTTATTTGCTTACAATTTGTTATCGTCAGGTTCACAGCAAAGTAAGTTGCTTCGCTATATTATTTGTCAAATATACACCAATAGTGGCGTTTACTTGCTTGAGCCTTGACACGGTGCTCAAATAATAGGATATTTTATAAAGACACCACAATGCAATCTAACGTTTGTAAAAAAATGATATCTGCGCCCACAAATATTAAGTATTTCTAAAGCATAGGGCTGGGCAATTGACCGACTAACCTTCCGGTTAATCGATTGGTGCGTTAATCGCAATCATTTTTAATTGGCTAATCCGATGAATTTAGTTTTACGAATTTCGGCGGAGAAAGTGGAAATGCTTGCTTTACTTCTTCGTGCATATTGGTGCATTTCAAAAGGCAGCGCTGTTGTATTCCACGAAACAACTATTAGGTACTTCGGTCATTGTAGTTCTGAAGTATAATCAGGCTTAAAATATACTCCGAAGTTATTTTGTTCTTAATGTAGTTTCTCTGTTCGTTTTTGTTTTAGCCGGTCAGTTTTAAAATTAGCACGCACATTTTTACCGTGGAAGGTATAGTAAGAAATTGTGAAAAAGAAATATATGTAGTTCTAAGAGGCTTTTTAGTTAATATTCTTGGAGGTAAATGCGAACCAATTAGTGGATTCATTTATTGACTAAAAGGAAGCCATTAATCGGTTAAAAATTTATAATCGACACCAAGCACTAGAAAAATGTCACCAACCGGCTAATTTATGTTCTAGTTTCTTTTTATGAAATAACTTGTCATTATACATATATATATATATATATATATATATATATATATTCAAATAAAATCAATATCATAAGAAAGATTATTGTCGCTGTAGTGACTCGGCACTCCGTCTAGTTAATGATAGCTGAGATAATATGTCCAGTTCTCTGGTCATTATATACACCACGTAAAACATATATATTGATAGATACTTCACGATTCACACTGATAGGCTTTCGGTTTGACCCATGGCCGGAAACGTACACTTAACATGCCTATCTTAATATTTCGAAAACGGTCTTATTGTTGTGCGTAACTAGAAAATACCATAAAAGTTAAGGCCGCTAAAACATACCGGCCTCACTTTTATGGGGTAAAGTGATGGAGATAACAATATTTCGCACTCGTAATTAGGCATGTTCGAGACCATCTTTGAGTCTGGGATAAATTAGTTCCACACAATCATTTCTGAGTGAACTGATTTGCTTAACTGCATTTTCTTTATACTTCGGTTAAAGTGGGCAGAAAGTACCTGCGAGTGAACTCAACACCAGAAATTTTCGCCAGCTTCCCCGTGCGGACGACATCTTTGAGCACTACGACAAGAGAGCATGGCCCACCTACGGAACAGGTTGCTGCTTATCATCTCTCTCCCTCTCTCTCTCTCCTTTTTATTTTTGCGCTCTTATCTGATAAAGTATAGATTCATTAATTTAGCAGTCGTCTGCAATCCAAGCAATGAAACGTATGCACTTTATTAGGTATTTAAACACATGTACAAGAATCACAAAAAATTATATAGTCTCCGAAAATACACAAAATATACGAACCGGCACTACAAAACAAAAAGTTAAATTACAACTATTAAATGGATTAGTAGGGTCATAATTTGTTTATTTATGAACCACAAGCCCAATTCAAAGTCCAAAGTACATCTATTGAAGCGAGACATGTCTCGTTAATTATGTTCATAAATAAAGCACTTGAACTAGATATTCCTTTCGAAGAATCCTTCCTTTTAGCTCACAGGTAATGTCACCATTTGTTCTAGGCAAACCTACGGACGTCGTTGTCAATATGCACATCAACACCCTCGGCCCTTTAAATGCGAATGATTTGGTAAGTAGCCAAGTATGCATTGGAGCTAGATCTCAAACCCCACAAGGGTGTGTTTGCTGTTGGAGCTCACCCTCTCCAACGTCTTCTACAGAGCGACGGTCTCACACTAGAGGCCTCCAACACTAGCGATAACTCCTCAAACGTTTTACAAACATTTCCGTGATTTAACGCACTCAAAAATAAAAGCATGTTGTTTTAACAGGAACCTCAAAACAATCATCATCATTATTATTATTATTATTATTATTATTATTATTATTATTATTATTATTATTATTATTATTATTATTATTATTATTATAACAAATAAAATACGTTTTATGTGGCATAATTTAATTCCAAATGGTATATAGTGCGTGAAAACGTTTAACTTCCGAATGTGTGAAACTTGGTAAATAACTTGGACACGCGAAGTATGTCCAAGCAACTATATCTAGCATAAAGAGCTAGAGCAATACCTCTTTCACATCCGCCGTATTCTTATTTTACAACGAATATTTTTCAAATCTGTTATTTCGATTCATGCATAATTGATAAATCAGTTCTCATTATCCGTTTTTTCACACCCCAGTGGCAGCGCCACCTCCTTCCTCGTCCCCTCTTCCAATTTTTTTCCAGCCTGTAAAAAATGAAGAACAAAAAACGAGCTATTTTTTGGCACCAATTATATTTACAAATATTATTTTAATTCTTATCGGGAAAATATTTAGTGCCCTTCCTGAAATTTACTGCAACGTACTAATTACAGTATTTTTATGCAATGCAAAATGAGCGCAGCCATCGAATGTACAAGTAAACAGCTCCTGCTGTTAGGGCTGCAGAGATGTTGCTCATAAGAAAGTAACGTGAGTGTTTCCCAAACGTTACGAATACCGAAAAGTGAATTTTTTGGCTTGATATTGTGTATCTGTTTTGCCTAATGAGAGGAAGGGGGGGGGGGGGGGGGGTGAGATTAGTGTATATCCGACTTTCTTCTCCACCTCCAACTTTGCAGACTTTAGTGTGAATCAATGACACATTGAGAAACGCAGCGCGTTGCCTAATGTATGTTTATGCTTCTTGCTTTGTAACTCGTTCTTCGGATGTCTTATCCGCTAATTCTGCTTTCTGATTAGCTGCGGATCGATAATAAGATCCTCCGGACTCGCCAATCGCCACGTTTCTTAGGCTGTAGTGACTATACGGCTAGAAAGTGAGGGAGAGGAGGAAATGAGAGTGCCCGGGGACGTCGGAACACCGACCTCTGGTTGGAATGATTAGCGGGTAGACGCAATGCTAGCTGCCTTTGTCTCTACTCGGTGTTCGAACCAGTTCGAACGCGAGCGAGGACCGCTGTACGTCGGCCTTCGGCGTTGGAACGCGTTCCAAGAGTGGGTAGACATGAAGGGCAGCTATAGATTTTGCATCCACTAAACCTTCTAAACAGTTCTGCGCTCTGACGTGCCCGCGCGTTCTCATCACCTCCTCTCCCTCAGATACCCGGATTGTTGTGTCCCACTCCAGTCCCGAAACAAATTTTATTAAACGTCCCAACCATCCACATTTGAACTATTCGGGACAAAAATGTATAAAAATTTAATCTTTCCGTCAAGTGAAACTAGTTCAGTATTATCAGTTTGTTTCTTCATTCGTAAGAAACTAGCTGCAAGATTGGTTCCCGTTGCCCAAGAACAGTGACGGCGTCCTCCTGCAAACCCGTGGTGTCTGAATAAAAATGTTGCAACGAAACAGTGAGTCAGGTTAGACGAGAGTAACGAAATTATTATTTGTTCGGTTTACAATTTCGAAATGCTGGTATAAACATAGTTCTGTGGACTTCGTTATTTCCCCATTGTTGACTGCATCTGATCGCATTAGAAACAAATAATTTCAGGAAAGAGCTATCTCTATCGACCTGATAATACCAACTTGGGGCCCTAAGCTGGACGCTTGGCGAAAACGACGGCGATAAATCTGGCGGCCGCGATTGGCCGACGCCACACTTGACCTTGGCTCCGGCCAATCATAGCCGCCGAATTTCTCGCCGACTTTTCCGCCGAGTGTCCAGATTAGGGCCCTTGAAATGAAATGCATAATAGATAAAATCTAACTTTTCTAAAATACAAGTCATGTGATTTCTATGGGATTTCTACCATGCAATGTGTTATTTTTAAGAAATGGCCTTAAAAATTTACTAAATAGAAATTCAAATTAGTTGCCGGCTTGCAGGACTACGACATGGACATGTACCTGAGGCTAGCCTGGAAAGATCCTAGGTTGAGCATGCGCAGATTTGGAATAAACCGCACCCTCACCTTGAATGGTCAGCACCTTCTCTCGCGGATGTGGAAACCTGACCTGTTCTTCGTGAACGCCAAGGAAGTGAGAACGCACAGAGTCACGATGCCGAATGAACTGCTCCAGCTGTCGCCAGACGGAGACATACTCATCAGCATAAGGTGACATTATGCCACTTTTATTTGCTATCATATCGCCGCGCGCGGGGCCGAGCAAGCAACGCTCGGTCGCGGACTCCTAGAAGATTCTTGTTTATTCTTACTTGTGAGGTCAATTTTATTATTTCGTCCTACTTTCTTGTTCTCGAAAGTGGCTGTTCATTGTCGCCCCGAACGCTCGACGTTCGAACCTTATGGTCCGAATTCTTTAGATGCCAACTCACACTAGATAAGAAGCTGCGCGTCACCTTGTCAGGTCGGTCTCGCTCTCGTTTGCTGTTGCGCCACCAAATCGCCGTCCGACCGCTCGCTTTTCCTACTGGCTCGACGCTTCTTCCTTATTTTGTTTGGCATAAGTGCGCCCCATTAAAATGTCTTTTTGAAACAGCATTTTCGCAGCTTCTACTCCTGACATTGCGGATATTAACATCGTGTACCATGAATCTGGCAAAATTCAGCAATTATTTTTAATAAAACGTAATTTTTATGACAAAGTCTCGCTGTCGAGAAAAAAATCCTTTCGCAGCGATTTTTTAAACGGAATTCTTAAGTCATGCGTTTTAAACTAATAACTTGGGAATACAGCTAAACACTATTATGCACTCAGAGGAATGACCAGGTGACGTCTCAAAAGATGATAGCGCGTTTTTACATTATGATACACATTCTTTTTTAATATGAAGAATGTATTTTGAAGACAAAAGTTGTACTTTTTTTGGAATGTACTAAAAAAATACTTCAAGTCACTTCCCAACGCAAGCTTTATTAACAACTCGAGCCACCAAATGTAGTGACGAATAAATGACGTAAACTCTGTCACAGACACCAGAATGATGTTAATGTGTGATATATTATACTAATTGCCGCAGTAGAGACGGAATTTTCTTTTGTCAGTCGTTCTGTCCTAATTAGTTGTAGATTACGTTACTAAGATTGTATTAATTGGTTCTCCACAGACTCACAGTGAGAGCAAGTAATAGGATATGTTTAAAGTTCATGTGTAACTTCTGCGTTGTTAGCAATCTAATTTGTCATTGCGAGTATGCTCGGGTTATAATATTTATTATATTTCTTTCAACATCACACCTCAGATCGAGATAGTAAATCTCAAATGACACCTGGTGCAATATGTTTTACTTAAAGGGTTTTGGAAGATATGTGTTTTGATCCAAAATGTCCTTTCTTAAAGCATTAAGAATATTGCGTGCATACTTTTACATAACTTGTGACTGTGTCCCTAATAGAATAAAAAAATGTGACCCAGCATTTAATCCGTTAACTAACTTGAATCTGTGTCAGTCATTTTAGTTCGATCGCTAAATATTGGGTGACAAAGTTTCCAATTTGTTAACGATCAAGCTGAAACTGCGAACCTGCATAATGCATTTTTTTTTTTTTTTTTTTTGCCAAATGTCAGGTTGACGATGAAACTCTCCTGTTTGATGTTGTTTCACAACTTCCCCTTCGACAAGCAGAAATGCTACGCTCTCGCACGTCCATGTGAGTTGGCAATAAAAACATCTAGATGGAAAAGTTACCAATGACAGAGTAAGCTCTTTTTTCTCTAATTTCTACAAAATGGCGCAATGCTCCACCTAAGTTTTTTTTTTTTTTTGTGGATCGAATTATTAAGTTAATTTTACCAACGTGCATATACTAAACATACAACATTATTTTTCTATTTTCATGTATAATGTGTCTCAGTATATTCCAAAAAAAAACGCATATTAAGGGTTGTGTACGCTCCATCTCAACAGTCAACAAACCTTCCGAGGAATTAATATATTTCGAGTTGTTAGAATATTTTGCAAGCACAATGAGGTACACGGATATCCTACCTGTTTAGCTTACCCCACGTCCGTTTAGCTCATATATATTTGTTTAGCGCACATAAGTTCGAACAAGCATGCTTTAAGCCCACTTCAAGCAATATATTTACTTTCAGATGCTCATCCACTCAATCAAATCATGCTTGTGTGGCGAGAAAAGGAACCCGTTTTTCTAGAGCTTCCAATTGAGATGCAAGATTTTGACCTAATGGCCATGTCCTACGATGACTATACAGAGGAGATTGAGACAGGTATGTGCAGGTTTTTATCCGTCGTTCTCACTTAAAATTCAAGTACACCCTTAATTAAAAAAGTAGTCGTCTCCCTCACCAGAAAACTTGCGCATAAAAATGATCTTTATATATTTATTTCTTCTTTATATGTTTCTTTTGGGCAAAGATTTTCTCTCTGGAAGACCAGACGAACTTCCATCCGACGCTCTTTTTCTTGGCGATGGCAGCACGCAGGAGCCTTTCTTGTTCGAACGTGTTAAATGGTTGTCCACAGGACCGCTGTGCCCACCGTAATCAATGCCTTTAGTTGCAAACCTCTGTTGTTGTGTTTCTTTTTTTTTTTTTCATTTCTGCACGATTTTGTTTCGTGTTGTGGGTTTCGCAAAGCAGAGAATTATGTTCCTTTCTAGGGGTTTAAAGGTGTGAGCTCGGTGACACACGTCAATGTCAAAGTCTGAAATCGTTTCGTTCAGAAGGGTCCCAATTCTTTTGGCAATGCCGTATGCGCCTCTTGTTTCGGGCACACCTTCTATTTCTATGTTGCGAGAACGCTGGTATTGCTCAAGCTCTTCCAATTTGTCGTTAAATCTTTGATTTCCTCCGGCTAGTTCTTCGTTTTTTTTTCCCCGGCAGTTTCTGCTTTTTTTTTTTATTCTTCATTTAGTTTCTAATTTCGTTCACACTATCACAAATTTTACCCGAGTTTTTAACGCTGCCTTTTAAAGTCCTCAGATCAGCCCTTAGCTCGCGTTACGGTCATCGTGGGCCTTCATAATATATTTTCCTTCTTTAGTCATGTCGGTCAGGAAAGCAGTGAACAACACCCAATGACACGGTACTTCAACGCTTACAAATCAGCAATAATACGAGACTACCAATCGTTGCTGTGTTCGTCAACAGTACGCAAAAAGATCTTTAGGTTTAAAAAACAAAAGGTGATTCTGTCCTGTGAGAGCAGAGGCAATTAGATAGCTGTTTGATGCTCACCCCTGCCGAACTGAAAGCTGGTCCTATGTCCCGTCGTCCTTTGTAGCTGCTTGTCGTCGTCAGTGGCACCTTCGTCTTTACCTGTTGCGCCACGACGTAATGTTTGTGACGAATGATGACGTGTCGACGTAGTGACAGTTTTGGGCACAGTTGCTCCATGTGCGGCCAGTTAACTGCGAGAGCACCCTTACAAAAAATTGTTACGCTTTTCTGTTGAAAAGCTGTTGAAAAAAAATCATCAGAGGATATAAAATGTCAACAGTTTTTCATCTGACTTTCTCTAGCTCTTCTGTTGACTTTCTTTTGAATATTGGCCCATTTTGTAATAAGAAAGTCAACAGACTTTCTGTCGCCACCAAGATGCTTTTTCTGCAACTTTTCCACTGAAAAGCTACAGAAGAATAAAAAGAAAAACAATTATTTACAGCTTAGCTATTCACTCAACAATGTTTTGGAAGGTTACTATGGCTTTTCACTCCTCCAAATTAGGTGCAGCAAAATAAAGTAAAAAAAACGTGATATTTTTTTTTATTTTGTTAGTAAATGGTGTCCCTGTGGTATTTGAAGTCACTACTACGTACATCCCACAACTACATATTAGAAACGAACACAAAAACCGTGAAGCACTGAACACCTCAATTATTTTTCCTTTTTGCACTGAACACCTGAATCACAGTCCCATTGACTGTGATTGGACTACGTGGGACTACGTGGGACGAAAGGCTTGACGTCAACAATCCGTCTCTTGCTCGTGTGCGCCCTCTGCAGCAATGTGTTATCTTTTTTTTTTTTTTTTTGAGCGCAGCTTTTAGGCGTTTGTTTACGGGTTGAGCGGCGTCGGTGTCGCCGTCGGCGTCGACGTCGGCAGCGGCGTCGGCGTAACCGCGCGCGTTGCATTATGGGAAGTTTCCCTGCTAGAGTTAGCGGGAAAATATCTCCGCTACACTTAGCGGGAAATTTTCCCCCTGAATTTTGTGAACAAATTTTCTCGCTAAATTTTGCGAGAAAAGTTTCACGCTAGGCTTAGCGGGACAATTGTTCCGCTAAACTTATCTGGAAACTTTTCCTGCTAAATTTAGCTGGGACATTTATTCGCTAAATTTAGCCGCGAAATTTTCCCGCTTAATTTAGCGGGGAACTTGTTCAGCTCATTTTAGTGGGGGAATTTTTCCCCTAAATTTAGCGAGTTAAGTTTCCCCGCTAAATTTAGCGCGGAATTGGACGTCACGTGACATCAACACTAATGTAGTTTCTCGCTATATTTGGCAGGGAAAATGAGGCCACGACTTTGTGTCACGTCACACATGAACCAGTTCAGCGGCAGGAAGAGTGAAGGAGGGAAGGAAGAGGAGGAGGGGAGGAAGAAGGGGGAAAGATGACGAGGAGGAGAGGCTACGGAGGAGGAGGAAGGGCATACCCTCCTTCTGTACCCTCCCCTCCTCCTCTTCAAGAACTGCGCTCTTGTTTTGTATTACAAAAAAAATTGTAAACGTCTTCCTTTTTTTTCTCTTTTTTTCTTTTGGATCCCTACTCTTCTGAAATGTTCCGGCGTTATATTTCAGAGAGCAGCTCGCACACAACGTAAATTTACCAGAATCGGAGCCCATATGAGGGAAGAAAATGTCGCATCGGAGCCTGTTCATTCCAAAAGTGTGGCCGGCTGCAGGACTGCACAGAGGTCCCGCGGTTAAGGGGATAATCGTAAATATAAATTCGGTACCTTCAACCTTAGTAGCGCCTTGTATATTACGTTTATATTTTATATATATTAAGTTATACAAGACTGCGAATTTAAAAATTATCTTAATTTCGGATAAATGCGCACGAACAAATCCCTTGACCTGAGTGAGTGGACGACGCGGCCGGAGTAAAGAGGACTAGAGAGGGTGCCTTTTCTCGACGTGGCCTCTCTCCGCTGGCCACTGTGACGTCACGACTCGGAGGAGCGCTGCGGCCTTAGCTTCTAGGAGGTGTTGGATCAAGCGCTATTGCCCCTTTATTGTATCTAACGGAATATATAATCCAGGCGAATAAAACAATAGGTTCTTCACTCTCAGAAAGGACTCTTTAAATGTCTCCAAATTAAATGTGAATGACCACTCCTTAAATGCTGCATTTCATGCATCATAGGACTTCTGAGATAAAAGTCGCTGCCCCTTCTTTGAACGGTATATAAAAATCTTCCAAATGCATAGAAGATATAGCTGAGGAGCTACTATTCGCGACTCCAAAGGCCTACAGGGGTCACCACTCTCGGGCAAATATCGGGTTCGGAAACAGGTTGGGCCGTGCCATGTGCAAGCTCAACGCATAACGTTCGAGTTTCAGCGGGCAAGCATTGGCACTAAAATACGTTGTCCACATCCTTATCCAGTATGTTCCAACCTGCGGCAGTGCTTCGGCTTAAGCAGGCTCCCAAAAGCTAAGCCTTCTTCGGTGAAGCGATAAAATAGCTACACACTCTTCCTCTACTGTGCTGGTAAGCGATGACAAACGCACCATGTCTGCTTCACGCGGTTGCGTAGGGTGCATTCCGAGCAACCTGGGCAGCCCACTGAGACGAGAGTAACGACAGTCACCTTGACAACTGTTCGACCTACACAATGCGAGAGGCGATCCCAGGCGCGCCTGATTCTTGAAGCAATTGTGAGTCATGGTTTTCCCTGCGGGCACTTTCGTTGCTGCCGTTTTTTGGTTCTTTGACCACAAGCAACCAAACTTCCCTCGCTTCCCTTCGGTTGCCATTGCGCCAGTCGCCGACAACATGCAGTCCCGTTAGCTACAAGAGACGAGCAGAAATTGCGAGAGGACCTGTTCCTGTCAGTTCCGTGTTTTCCGGTTAGGTGCCGTCCCTTTAACTGGAATCGCGAATACTCTCGAGAGGGGCGAACCCTTCACTCGGAGTTGGGTGGTGGGCTGGCAGGCGCACTTGCGTAAGGGTTTTCACCTTTCTGAACAGTCTTGCGCGCCATTCAGGATTGAATTATTTGCAAACAAATATTTTTTACTCTTATTAATATTATTATCGCCCTCAAAATATTGGAGTACGAAAAGCGAACGGAACATGAAACATATGTCCATGCACTCCTCGTCGATATCGACATCATCAAACCCGACTTCTGAGCCCGTCAAGCAAGAAGGTTGTATCAGGACGTCAAGAGCCACGCATTTGCGTAGGCATCTGTGTCAATTCAAAACTCAACGTTATTGTTAATAATGCCCCCTTTGCGTAGGCAACTTCTCCTGTCTGCGGCTCAGCTTTCTGCTGGACCGCCAGAATGGGTTCCACATGATCCAGACGTACCTGCCTACGTACATCGTGGTCATGGTGTCCTGGATCCCCTTCTGGATCCGGCCGGACGTGATACCTCCCAGGGCCATCCTGGGCGTAAAGACGCTGCTCACCCTGGCCGGCATCTACCTGGGCGCCAGCACGCACCTGCCCAACGTGGTCTACAGCAAGGCCATCGACGTCTGGCTCGTCGCCTGCATCCTTCTAATCATTGGAGCTCTCATCGAGTTCGGCATTGTCAACTACCTGTTCCTCAGCAAACTCACCAGGGCAGAATACCTCCAAGCGATCAGTGTGTTTCGGGTAAGCGTGCTCTGAATCTTTAATTCTGTGAAACATTGGATTGTGAAGATACACTTGTTGGAAGCCTTGCAGTCCTATACGCCTGAAAGTCACTAGAGAGTTTTAGAATAGGGGTGCCCAAAGCTTGGGAGCACCAAAGAAATAGGGGCCTTCTACTGCGCATGCGCAGAACCCAAAATGAGTTTTGAGTTTTGAGTTGGCGCTCGTTCCTAATGCAAAATTCTAGAAATAGCGTGGGGCCCTTAATTCCTTGGGGCCTGCACTCTTAAAAAAAAAAGGTGCGCAAAGGGACCAATCGCCATCTTTCATCCCCGCGACCCTAGCGCCCTCTATTTAGAAGCGGTAACTCGAGCAGCTCGTCCCGCGGGCATTTCGTTGCTCCCGCTGGAGTTGATCCCCTAACGAATACTTTAGTCCCCTCACAATAATGGCTGCCGCAAGCCTTCGATGAAGTGGACGAAGCATCACTCGAGTAGCTATTTTGGAAAGAAGCCTTGGCAAAACAAGATTTTGGCCCCGGGATTTAGAAATTGTGACTACACGCGCATATTCGGTGAATGTTTCCGGCCGCGAAAAACATGAGAACGGAATCCGAGCGACGCGGAGGCGCCGGAGACGAGGCTACCTACTCTCCGACTGCCGCGCGCGCGCCCGAGTTTGAACTGGAGGTGACGGTTGACCCAGTTGACCTGTGGCGGTGCGGTGGAAGCCTCGTCGGATGCAGTCGGAGTGGCAACCGATTGGACGGTGAGTTTTGATTGCTTTGGCTACTTGTTGAGCAGCAGAAATGTTATAGTCATTTCAGAACGTACTTCATAAAGTCGCAGGGTTACCCTGTACGATAGGTGCTCGCTCTCTGACGCGGTCGGGCTCGTACTCGTCCATGTTAGCGTGCAAACGAGGCCTAGCACTTCAAAACTAGACCCGGCGGCAGTCAGTTCATCAAACAAACGATATAACACCGGCAGATGGTTTCGTCGACGCAGCAGCGTTTTAATGCCACTTAGGTTCATCGAAAAGTACCCGTGTTCGTTTCATCGACCAAACTTGCGACGCTTCATCGGAAGCGTCTTTCCGCACATATCGCCTCGGTCGGCGACCAAGGCGATGCGAGCTTGACGAAACCGTTGCGGTTCGCATGAGGCCTGGTGCGAGTTCGCGCCTCGAGAGTAATTGTTTCGCGCTTACGCTCTTAGGCGAAATGTATGGTCGTATCCGATATGCGTAAATAAACATGTTCTCGATCAATATTAAAGTGTCTCCGAGCGGAGCGAAGGGTTTCAGCGCGTAGTGCGGACGGTTTGAAAGCGGCGATCGCCAATTCATTTGTGGCGTATCAGAGTCGCCTGGGCAAGTCCGCTTTAGTTGAGGTAGGTTTGCGGCGAACGAAATTAAACCAATAATGCAATCCCCGTGGTGAACGAAACAAAACAAAGTCGACGAAACGTTGTAGGAGCACGTATCGACGAAATTGAGCGGTGCCGCGAAGTCGTGCACGCGCGCGTTTAGTGAAGCATTATTTTATGTTTTTACTTTCTCTGCGGGTTTCCGAGTGTCTTTCGGCCCTCTATGTTTCGGCCGATACTGGTCGGCTCCGCGGCACAGTTTATAGTTTCAACCATCACCAAATTGGAATTGAACTTGAACGCTGTAACGATACTATTGTTTATAGAGCCCAGCGTAGAGGTGTTTTGTCTTGCAGTACTTCTGCTTTTGAGATCCTCACTTCGGAGTTTGCTTTCGCCCTGTGTAACTTGTGCTCGTGGCTTCGAAATGTGTGTTGTATTCTTCAAAGCTGCTCTTGTAATCTTCGTTCAAAGGTTTTTTTTTTTTTTTTTTTATGCTTGTTATTGATAGCTGTGTTTCCTTTGGGCTCTGAGCATTTTCAAACAGTCTGGTTAGGACACGCATGTCGAAAAATAAATTTTACGCGAATAAACAACAAAAAAAAATTAGAGTAATATTTATTTATGTATTTATTTATTTATTTATTGAAAATACATGCAGGGCCCGAAGGCATTACAGAGGGGGAGAGGCACATACATAAAATAAAGATATTAATATAGTAACAAGTGAACAATATTAAATATGCAACAAACAAAAAAAAAATCGACAGGTCATGGGTCACAGACGCGATTTAGTCGGTAATCACGTCCTTTCCACTTGTTTTCTTTCGGGTGCGGGGAGGAGAGGTGGATTGCCTTGGCCATCGCGTTCAGCCAATCTGCCAATGCCAATGTTATTGAGGAGAAAATTGCGTATTAATATTCCATGACGTCATGAAATTAATAGAAAATTAATCTCGCGCCGTCAATATTGCTAAAAAATGTTTTTGCGCAAATTTTTTTTTTTTTTTTGCCTCTTGTGTCCCTTATAAACTGTCTAAAAGAATTTTTTTTTTTTTTTCAGGTTTCCTTTAGGGTGCAATTTTCTCGTCTTGACTGTCATTCGATTTCGCATTAATAAATTCTGGTTATGACAGACACTATGCTTTATGACAGTATCTTACATAAATAATAGGGTATTACCACATAGCATCGTAATTTTGGAACAGAAGTGGCTGCAATCAAAAATAAAAACAAGTCACGTAAAAATAAATTTGCACATGCCATGAACAGTTATCACGACACAAAATGTTGCTATAGCTTCATTTAAAGGACACTTTAATTTTTAGTTGGCCTAGCACCTCCTAAATACCAACACCTTAGCCCTTAATTTTCTTTCTCGGTTATCATATTTCAGTGCAGGTTATATAGTGGACAGTGCTATGTTAGCATTGGCCTAGAACTCGTGTTCAGTGTGTGAGAATACGTGTTCCAGCTGAATGCAAATACAGCACTTTTTCCAGTCAGCCTTGCGATGACCTATGAGAGGGGGTAGAATCCAGCAACACTAAAGCCTTGCGATCTAGGAGCCATTGAACTAACTGAGTAATCTTTGATTATTGAGCTCCTTAAGCTAGTGATTTCGCACTTGTAGGCTTCTTTGTCTCTTGAATGTTATTAAAAAAAATGCTTTTGATGTAGCAAAAAAAAATTCGACCACAGGTGGAGAACAGACATATGGAAAAGGGTTGATTTATGAGGTTTAGGGCGAAAACGAGCTGGTGCTAGTTAATTAAGACTATGTCTGCCTGTCCTTTCTTTTTCGAAATCTCTGAGTGTTTTTACTATGTTCAAGGTTGGTTTACTTCGTTCCTTCTAATTTTCAGAAGCTGCAAGCATCCTCGCCCACGACTGAAGATTGAAATTTCATAGCCGGCCACTTGGACGCAATGAGAAGAGAAAGGAAGGGAGCTACTACGTATATGGAGATGGTAAAAGATGCCATGGAGAGGACTTTTTGGGCAAGGAGGGTACATCAGCACACACCCTACAATCTGCAACACCGTAGACGACTATCCAGCCCTAAAGCTCACAGACCAGGTAATATGTTGCTTACTAGCGATGTTGCTCATGCTTTTAGGAGCAGTAAGTTCCCTGAGAAGACCACGACCACCCCCATTATGGTGCATTCGCGCTGCTAGCGAATGGAAGCTCCTGCAGGGAGATCTCGGTGACGCGGTTGGGGAAAATGTTCCTCAACGCACAGATCTGCTTTGCAGTTGCGGCTCCAGGCCTGGCACAAATGCGCCGTTAGTCCTGTCATGGTGAAGTCTGGCACCATGATGGGTCTCCTTTTTTATCCCACTTACATCAATTACGATTTTGTTACAACTGATAAGTAATGATTTTTTTTTTCGCTTTTTCTTTTAAAAAGAGCAGTTTACAAATATCGTCAAGTAGACTGAAAATGTGAAAATAATGTTTCTTGCAGATCTTTGCAGTGTCTTTTTGTATTAGTACTGGCGCCAAGGCAAAGGAGCGATTTATGAATGTTGCCTCAGAAAACCTGCCAACTGTTCTCATGGTGACTGAGGGAAAACCAAGACCGGCCCTGTTCTGCAAGATCATTGTAAGGCTTCATGATGCAGAAGATATAAAAAAGGTGCACTTTACCCTTTGTTGTATTACACTTTTCTTTTTCAGCACATTTGCAGTAAATGAAGCCGTTCGTCTTTTGCTATTAATTTCCTTCCAAGGGCTCAGCTTACGGGTTGGCAGAAACTTCGGGCTCTCGGGACAAGTATTTCATCACCCGACCCTGCCCTCATGCACATGAGTATGTGCAGAAAGCATGGTCACCAGTTTTATGATCGACAGCTGGCTGGATCTGAGAGCATACCCAATGTGATAACAAGGTTTAAAATGGCACTGCCCTGCCAACCTGTTGGAAGTTTTCAAGAGAGCAAGCACACTGTCCTTGCCCTGTTGCTCAATTCAGTGGGGATTATTCAAGTTCAACATGCCTTTAAAAAAAATTCTCCTCATAGGCCACTTCTTGCTTGCCTTTTTTGTAGCAGCATTATAAGAAAATACTTGCGTTTTAGTTATATTTGTGGAGGGCTAGAAAACCGAGCAAATAGCTTTATATTTTGGTAGGTTCCTCCTGCTGAGCGAGATTTGGTGCAGCTGAGATGTATCTGATCGTAACTGGCCAACCAAAAACACTGCACATTCTGAATTAGTTGGCTTATGTGGAAAATTGGGGTACTTCATACTTGTTTTTATTCCTTTGTTTATTTTAAAGTAAGTATTAACAGCACTTCTCAATTCACGGGCAAAACTAAATGTGATCACAAGCATAATGAGATGTGCTTGGAACGAATTACTTTCAGAAAACTGATAACAACATCATAGTCTTATTAACTGGCACTTCCTCCATGGCAAAAGCAAGCACCACGAGTCTTTTATTATCCCACTGACATCTTTGCAATTACGATTCTGTTTCTCATAATAAATTGGGAATCTTTTTTTCTTATCTCCTGCTTTTCTACAGGGTAGTTTACGATTTATTGGCTCACTAAAGATCATCTATTTTTATTTCAGATTTTTGCTGAGTTTAATCGCATCACAAGCGTCGATGCCGAGCAACTCTCTTTTTAAATTGCCTCAGAAAAC